GGTACGCAAAAGAACCAGGCCGCACAAAGCGTCCGGCACGTGGGAAGAAGCCATACTCCACGATTCAGGCGACTGGCCTTCTGTTGTGAATCCAGACGTCCTTGTCCGAGATGTTGACCACCTTCACAGCGACCGGCCAGGATCTCGCAGCGTAAATCAGGTGCGCTACCCAGCGGTCACCTCGTCCTGCCCACACACCATCACGCTGTGGGTTCGTCGGTCCATACGAAATCTTCACCACCTTGGATTCCCCAGGGGCCAGGTACCAACTACCTGTGGTTTCCACGGGCATGTCGACACCCAGGCGATCTTCTGGGGTCCATCCCCACATCATGATCGCCTCTTCATCCGGAAGTGTCACGAGACCTTCGCGAACACTGATCCTCACTCCAGCTGCAAACATGAAACTCATACCCAGAAGTACTTCGATCCCTTCGCCGATGTTAGCAATCCAGACATCCAGGAGATATATCACCCTCGAACCGAGAGTAATCTTCACCTGAGCACTGGTACCGATGTACGTCGGAACGCCTCCCATGCCAGACACCTTGGTTTGCTTGTGCGACTTGAGTGTGAGTCCGAGCTTACGCGCTTAGTCGAAGCTCACAATATTCATAGTCGCACCGGTATCCAGGAGAACTCTCGTCCGGCAGTCGTTCACAGCACCATGCACCATCGCCACATCAAGTTTCTTTGGGTCAGGATCATTGTTTTCCCACCATCCGTAGCGCTCTCCAGGGTTCAGCTTGTACTCCACAATTTCTTCAGAGTTCATCGACCCAGAGTTCGCTTGTTCAGGATTCTGATTTTCAGGGGAAGTCATGAAATTCTGAGTCAAAGTAGTCATGCATTGTTGGTTATCTTGGGTTCTTGTTCTCAGCTCCGGGCCTACATACACTAGAACACATAACTCTGGGGCCTTCTTCAGCCCGGCGCGTACTGGGTCCCCACCCAGCGGGCTTATTGGTTTGACGGCCTCCCAGAGTTTGCTTCGCCATCCAGGAGTTTATCCAGGATTTGGCTCGGCATGTCCTTCAGTGCACCTTGGGGGGGGAGTTTCTTCACAGCTTCCAGTGTCTTCCAGTCTTCATACGGTTTTCCGAGATGCAGGTTGCCACAGTTCTCGCACGGTTGCGCGCGACACAAGTGAGTCGGATGACCCACTTCCAGGCAGCGATCACACTTCACGTCTTTCCAGCAGTTTTCCTCTGGGTGCCCCCACTTGCAGCACTTCTCGCAGAACTTGTCCCAATTCGGGTTTTCGCGGCAAGGGGAACGGAATCCAGAGTTCGCGTTCGGTCCTGGTTGGGCGTTCGGTGGACACCATCCCATGTTATCCATCACGCGATAGACCTCGTTCGTCAGCGTCTGAGTCCACTCGGCACCCTTCATACTCGCCAGGCTCCCAGCGCTAGACGTAGAAGCTTCTTCTCCAGAGATCTCACGAGTTGAGCCTGAATTCGCACTCACACTTCGGGCTGAAACTCTGGGTTCGTCCGTGATCTCCTGGAAACGCGCGTGAATCTCAGGGTCTTCATCCGACACAGAGTCAGAGACATCGCCCCTAGTCACATACGCACGTCCTGCACGCTTCGGCTTAAAATTTTTGTGAGGAATGTTGTCGGCACGAAAGTCACGAACTCTGGGTGGCGGAGCATCATGGTCGCTGCGACTCCAGACCTCTTCGTCCTGTTCCAGAGCGTACTCTAGATCAGCGATACTCCTGAATCTCTGGCCCTGCAACGACGTCTTGAGGCGCGTGTCCCTGAGTTTCGTGATGAACCTCCGGATATGCTTCTCCAGACGCTTTGAAGACTTGCGAAAGTCAATGTCAGCCGTCCCAGCGGCGGAATTCAGACGATAGAAGAAATCCAGGGCGCTCTCTGAGTGCTTCATCTCCATCGCGAAGTAGCGTTTAGAGTACGACGAGCGCGCTTTGCAGTAATTCTTCCTGAATGCAGACGCCAACTCCTTCCAGTCACGCTGAGTGTGTTTGGGCAACTGGTTGAACCAGTCACGCGCAGCTTCCGAGAGTGTCAACTTGAGTTCCTGAATTCACATCTTCGTAGACCAACTCCCTGGGCCGCCATGTTCGCAAAACGCTCCCACCAATGCACGCGTTCCCTGAGTGACGCCTTAGTATCGAACTCACCCAGAGTATTCGAGTTGATGTACGGTCTGAACGTCAGGAGCGTAGTGCCAGCTTGATCCGTAGAGGCCGTCGTCAGGTTAACCCCAGGGTTCCCGTCCGAACTGTCATCCGAACTCTCAGAGGACGAGTCATCATCGCTGGAATCGGACCTTGGGTCGGAGTCCGAGCGTGGATTGACATCCTGACGCTTCTTCTTCTGCTGCTGGTGTTTCTTGGGTGCAGAGCGCTTGGAGTCTGTTTTAGAGTCCTGCGAGGCCTTAGAGGTCGCTGTTCTCCTGGGATCCGACGTCTTCCCCAGAGACACAGGCTCGAGCTTGACATCCTGCATCACCTTGGTCTCCGTAGCGCCATGGCCCCGCTTGACGCGCGCGATTCTGCCGGGAGTGTCGTCGGAAGTCTGCGCGAGGGTCGCTCTTAGCTGGGAGGCGGCGACTTCGGAAGTGTTCTTCGGATCAGCTGTCTCCCGTCTCTGGCCTGTGACACTTGCGTTTCCGTGGATTACGCCACTGGATTCTTGGGGTCGGGTTGCAACTTCAGGGTTCTGAGCCACTGACGACCCCACATTTGTTGCCAAATCAGGGGCGACGGTTGCGCGACGCGCTTGAACTTGGGCCAATGTTGCACGAAGGTCGCGCACTTGGCCGGCGTGGAAGCGCTGGATATTCTCGGAAGACTCCCGCTCTCGCTCGCTCTCCGCTTCGAGCTCTTGGACCTTCTGCTCCATAGATGACATTTGTTCCTTCCAACCGGCGTAGGTCTCGGAAACCCAGCGCGCGCTCCGGGTCGGCTTCGGCTTCGCGCTGTTGCCAGCGCTCGGCGTAGGGGTGTCGAGGCGCTCACGCTCGAGACGTACAGCTTCCGTGATACTCTGGGTCATCCCCTGAGTTTCAGTGGAACTCTGGTTCTGGCGAGCTTCCACGTCCTGCGCACGCCGTTCCGCTTCTCCTCGGGCGATCTCAGCGTGGACCAAGCGATCCGTAAGTTCCTGGATCTGGCGACGCGCGTCCAGGTCACGTTGTTCCCTGAGGCGCTCGCGCTCCAAGGCATCCAGGCGTTCTCTGGCGAGAAACTCGCGTTGCTCCTGTTCCATGCGGGCCTGCCACTCCTGCTGTTGTAGCAAGACGTTCAGCTCGATTTGGGTGGGCCCAGACCTCGCGGACACGGACGATACCGACCCAAGATTCCTGGATCCACTCGAGCGGCTCGACGCAGCTGATTTTCTGGATTTCGTCGAGCGTCGAGAGCGCACCTCGCTCTTAGAGCTCTGGTGTTGACTCCGCTCATCGGCGCTGACATCCCTCGGACCACCAAATCCAGAAATCGGGGCAGAAACCCTGAGTTTCGGCTCGGCCATCGTGGCTGAAATCCTGGGGAGACCGGCCTTCCTGGGTGCGATCACCGACGATGCCATCTTAACGTCATCTTGGTCGACTGACATAAGACGCGACGGGATGACTGTCCGGGTGACCTGAAATCCAAGATCACCGGCAGCTGCGAAGCCACCGGCACTCTGGGCCACAAGCGCTAGAGCTCCAACTCGTTGTCCAAGCGACATCATCGACGAAGACGAAGAACTGTCGTAGGACGTTTGAGCGCCCGAGGCAATACTCTCATCTGAAGCACGCGAAGTGCCGATGACGCTTGGCACCGCACCTGGGGCGGCATCCTTGGCTTCCGCCTCCAGAGAGTCATGTCCATTGGACATGGAATTCTGGAGCGAAGCACTAGCCGAGGACTTGTACGCTGGAAGAGATGACAACGACGGTGTAGACAGCGCGGATGGCGTCGACGGGACTTGCGGACGAGGCGGTCCATGCTGTGTACGCTTGGATCGCGGCTCACCATCACTTGACCCTCGCGGGCTCCGTGAAATCCTGAGTCCAGTGACCCTGAATCTCAGGACAAACTGTCGGCCCAGTAGATCCGCATCGTAGTCCGTCATCAATAGATCACCGTCTCCATCTTCATTGTGGTAATCCAGTCTCGGCGCTTGATCTTGAACGCTTGGTGCATGTTGGTCTTCAGAGTTTACCTTGAAAGGCACACCAGCTATCACCAGTCTCCACTCGACCAGCTCCACCGCGATGAAATTCTGGGTTTCCTCCATGACCGAGCGCATCAGGCTTTCTGGAATCCTGGAGGCACGCGTTGTAGACCAGCCAAGAATCAAGTTGACAAACTCGAAACCAGCTTCGAAGAACAGAGTCTGCAGAATGGCGACGCACTCACGTGCGGTCATGATATTCTGGGGAATCGTAGTCGCCATGAGATCCTGGGCAGTTCCGACGCCCCACCGGGCGAGGTGAAACTCAGAGATCCAGGCTTCATCTTGGTTCGCCAGAGACAAACGCCACTTGAAGTAATCCCCTGTTGCGTATGCGGCCGCGAAGTACGAGTTAGCGTCCGGTTTCGGAGTCGGCCACTCATAGACGACACTCGGGGGCGTCACCTTCCCAGGATTCACCTCTTCCCAGAGTCGAACTTCACGTTGGACGTACAGCACCATGTTCTCAGTGTCCAACACCGGTGCTCCCGATTCCGGAGCAGGCGCAGCAGCTTCCCGGATGTCGCTTGCAGGCGTCTTCCTGGGTGCCGCTTGCGAACTTAGCGCTGAAACTCTGGGTTCAGGTGGTGCAAACCCAGAATTCACCTTGGAACTCTGAGTCTTCGCCTCCTCCTTCGCTCGCACGGACTCCGCCTTCACTTCCCCAACAGACTCGTCCGAAGATAAGACCAAGTCAATCACCTCCGGGGGCTCAACCGCATTGGCGCCTCCCTCAGACGCCTGAGCACCACCCTCGCGGGTGTGCTCCTCTGGGACTTCAGGAATCCGCGACCCAGAATTAACCTCCGTCGAACCTTGGAATTCATGGGAAACTTCTTCCTCCTGTGTTTGCGATCCAGCAGCAGGCTGATCTTGAACTGCAGACGCCTCGACGTCCCCACCTTGCACTGCCTCACTCTCGCGAGCAGCCTTCTTCGCCTTCCGAGCGTCGCGGACGACTGTTTCCAGGTCCTTGTGCTCCTCAGGCTCCATACCTTGAACACGACGCGACTGGCGTGACGCCTCACCGCGTCCTCCATCACCGCGTCCACTTCTTTGCCCCTCGTCCTTCAGGCATCTTGGCAGCTTGTAGTTGACGGGCACTCAACACTTCTTCAACACTTGATTCCGGTGAAATCCTCGACAATCGAATCCGGGCACGCGCACCAGCTGAGGCGAGACCGATGAAACCTTTATCGCCCTGGGGGGTTCGTATAGCGCAGCCCAATACTGTTCCCCAGGGGTAGACCCAGAGAATCGACTTGAGAGTCAACAGCAAGAAGATAGACCCAGAGATTCGCAGCCGCAAAGCTTTAAACACTGAGAATCACACTCCTTGGTTGGCGTGGGTACCTTGTGTAATCCCTGTCGGCTCGTTTGTCTTCGACGGAACGGCACTCCACCGGTTGTAAATGTAGCCTCGACGAAGTGCGGAAGCGCACGTCTACTTCAGAACGCTACTTCCACACCAAAAGGCAACCCAGAAAACCAGATCCCCTGAAACCCAGAATATCACGAATTCAGGGTCCAGGATTTCTGTCAACTCTGGGACTTGGAACTCAGAAGACACCTTACCCAAATGCCCTCCTAGCTCGATAAAACCAACCAATACAGAGTATACAAACACTACAACTAGTCGTCACTTATTCTTTTGGACCCTTGGACGGTGGGTCACTCACACACTAGGCTCACTCGAGTCTGAAATTCAGGGGCCTAGCTCCCCTGAGACTCACACAAACGCGCACCACCTCCAATAAAGGAGGAAAATACAATCACTATCAGTTACCTTCCCATCATACAAGCAGTCAATACAAAATCCTGGAGGCGACTACCTAGCACCCCAGAATACCCTCTGGAATAATATGAAATGGGCTACCACGAGCACAGCAAGTGGCCCAACTAGGATATGGAATAGATGGATCACTCCAGGAAGCTCAAGGCCGTCGCTGGTCCCCACCTAACTGGACTTGAGTTGATGGAGTCCACACAGACGGCTGTCCTTCGCCATTGATGTGCCCTTAGAGTCCCGCGGTCGTAATCTCGGGTCCTCCGGATTTCCGTCGGCAGGCTTGGCCGAAGTCACTTGCGCAGTACAGGGAAAATTGAACTCTGTTTGGTTTTTATCAGCTACTTCTCGCTCTCTCTCTCTCTCTCTCTCTCTCTCTCTCTCTCTCTCTCTCTCTCTCTCTCTCTCTCTCTCTCTCTCTCTCTCTCTCTCTCTCTCTCTCTCTCTCTCTCTCTCTCTCTTCTTCGTGCAAATATCTTCTGTTCACCATGCTTGGGGTCAAATGTCTTGTCTTGAGTATACCTTGGGCTCAGCGGTCCAAACTTGCGATCGGCTTGCGAATCTATTGTCGCACGGCGTCGAAAGTGCCAATTGTGGGTCCTTAGACTTGGTTCAGTATGGTGCAGGACTCCCTCTCGACTCCTCGAAAGTATCTAGTCCGCGCATCTGCAACGGTTCTTCAAGGTCATGCATCACTTTGATTGCAGACTGGCTTCGAACTGACTCGAGTCCCTGAAAATCAGGTGACACTCAGGGTCATCTTCTGAAATCCTGGGAATTCTGAGGAATCTTGGGGAACTGTGGGGATTCTTGGGTGTTGGCTCGGGAAACACTTAAGTTCAGTATAGAGAGTCTGGATTTATGGTCCAAACCCAGAGAATCATCTTTGGAACTCTGGGTCACCTGCGCCCAGGGAGGTGAACTCTGGGTCATCGTGCGGCACTCTGGGTCTCCAAGTGGCACTCTGGGTAACAAGTCTGCTGCATTGCAGGCTCGCGTGTATCTCCACAAAGCCACACTTTTAGTGGGTTTAGCTGTCTCCTGCGCATGATCATGGTAGTAGTGGGTTGATTCTCAGGGTAATTTGATCCTCTGGGGCACTCTGAGCCACAGCAAGATGAGGTGTACTCTGGGATATATTCTCCAGAGACACTTTCCGCCAGACTTTAGGCACTCATCGTAAGGGAAAGTCCGCGGCTGGACTGAGTGTTCTCTGAAATCCTCGGCGTGCACTCCCAGGATTCACACTTCCGACCAGTTGGGCCCATCTACGGTCAGGCGCTGGATTCATCCCGAGAAATCACTTCTCTCCCACAGTCGCCATCCATGTCACACGGGTACAGCCGCGCCGTATCCAAGTCATCCACCAATCAACATCCGATGCAAACTCCAAGTCACAGAGGTGACGGCACATCGTCGCCAATTTTCTGGTGACCGCTTCGTGTCACAGGGCCTTGCGGCCAAGGGTAGGTCGACTCTTCACTTGGTGGTGGGGCACTTGGCGGGACTTCGTCCGGGTGGCCAGCGGTCTGGACACTCTGCACTTGACTTCACTGGGGTGGCTGAGCTCCGGGTACACGAATTCGATGTGCGTTCAGGGCCTAGGCGAGGCGGGACACCGTACACGATACGTTCGTGCAGGTGCTTTCGACGGCATCAATGTGTCAACCCGCTTAAGGACGGGGGCGGCCTGGACGGATCGAGTGTGTTCAGGGTTTCTTGTCTGAACGAAGTCTTCCAGGCCTGAAGGGCCCATCCTAGGCTTGAGCGCACTTCGCTCCGCGGAACACAGACGAATTCCAGCTTAGGTGTTGTCGCACGGTGTAAAGCCGGGTCCGGGTTCAGTCTCGTCCAATCAGAATGGCGGAATCAGGCGGGTCAGTAGACAGGTGAGGTAAAACCTCGCTCAGTCTCGTCACATTTATTCAGCCTCGTCTATAGCTCACCAACAACCTATACTCTCAATCGAAGTTTTAGAAACCACACATTAATCCTCCTAAAGGCTCCTCAATATTCAATAATATGTTTTCTTCTAAAAGAGCGCTCTAGAGTTACGTGTTGTCTGGCATGCCGCATCCGACATGCATCGTGTGGTGAACTATTTTTAAGGGTCACACTGCGTACCTTTTCGAATGTTGGTATAAAAGGTGGTACTATGGTGTGTTGCTAGATTAAATTAATGCAAAAGGTCACTCATACCGCTCCAACCATTGAAATCACGGCGGCAGTGTCAACGATTCAAACTCGCACAGGCAACCAAGATTTAACCGTTAACGCACATGCCCCTCCCACACCGAAGTTGACGGCAAAGCCCGCATCACCTGCTAGAATGAGGTCCCGGAGAGACCGTAAAGGCTCTGTAACGGCTTGAGGGTAAAGTGTACCTGCTGGCATCAAGGCGCTCTCCCATTGGTTAAGGGAGAGCCAATCATAGGAATACACAACTAGCCAATCAGGGGGCGCCCTGTTGGCGACCGCTCGTGCGATGATGTTTGACGGTATTCGGAGAGAGGTCACTTCTCCTTTTGCCAACGACTGAGCACTAGTCTATTAGAGGGTATTAAGAGATAAATAAAGCTAAAGTTTGACCAACCAAAACTGAGTTTTAACATTTCAAGTACTGAGTGTTCGAAGATGGTCAAGGACACCCATGTTCCCTTCGCGGGTCTAAAGATCAATGGAAACCCAAACGACTTCCAGCGATGGAAAGACGCCGTTGTCGAACATCTCATGAGCAAGACCAACAGCCGAAAGGTCCCTGAGATTCAAGCCGGAAGGGCTGCGCCCCGTCACGGGTTCCTGGATTTACTCTTGCGTCCTGCCCATATCGCAGATCCGGGACCAGATGCTACGGATGATGCTCGCAATCAACATGAGTATGAGGTGGCTCTGCTGGACGAAGTGGATTCTCACATCAGGGACATGTTCAACTGGACCCTGCCTCATACATACATGAATCAACTGAGTACAGACAACGACGGAAAAATCCGGCGTGACTGACTGCCATCCTCCACAGTTAAGGAGTGTAACACAAAATACGGCACAGATAAAAAGAAAAACATGATTGGCTAAAAGGTTGCGTAACTGTTCAAAAATAAAGCACAAATTCGAATGTTCTGCAAAAAACCTGCATTTTATTCAAATGCTAATCTCAGGATACTGAGGAATAGCTGCCTTAAAGCTCCTAACTACAGTGCTTTCGGGGATTGCATCCCAAGCAGCAATCGTAGCGCGAACGGCACGGAGCCGCTTTTCCTTAGCACTGCCACCCGTGATGCCAGACCAGTTCGAGCGCAACTTTGCCTTTAGTGGCCCACTTACACCGACATCCAGCGGCTGACAAGCAGCCGTGCTGTTTGCGGGTAGAGGGACCACAGTAGCATTAGCAACTTCGGCAACGACCCGCTGCCCCTCTTCCGACACATGACACTCAAAGGTGTCAAGAAGGAGGACAGCGGGTCCATCAACTTCATATTTAACAACTTTCTACGTAAAAACGCCACGTAACAGCGTCCATCCAAGCGTTCTCTTGAACGGTGTGGAAGTGTTCTTCCGGATACTCTTCGAACTCGCTTGTGTCGATTCGACCGCCCAGCTTGCCGCGCAGAACAAACAGAATCGGCAGCTTTTCCCCTAAAAATAGTATAACAAATACATATTAGCCTTAAAAAATAAAAATTATGAGAACAACAAAAAGGTAAACTTACCATCAGCTTGAATCGTGAGCACAGCCGTCATGCTGCCGGTGTGCTTGGACGTGTTCGCAATCCTCGCAGCGTCCCGCCGACCTCTACCCGCCCACATCCGTGCCGGAGGCATGTCAAAATTGATGGCAGTCTCATCCACGTTGTATATGCCCTCCGGCCCGTACGCGGCGTGCGTCTTCCAGAAGTCCAGCGCGAACTCGGCGCGCGTTTGCTCTAGCTCCTCGGTGCTTTTCTTTGCCGTTTGTGGCTTCTGGGAGGTAAAATCATGCCTAAACACGCAAATAAAGGTAAATGTTAGGAAACTGATGGAGTTTTAGCAAAAACAAAATTATTTACCGAATTGCGAGTCTCTCGACCATGCGCTCAAGCGCCAGGATGCCGCTCCGCTTCCTTTGCAGGTAGTCCTCGACCCACTCGGTCTCGATTGCCCACATGAAAGACATAATGCCACGTGTAGTGAGGGCCTGTACATTATAGCATAAAGTTTAACGGTTAAACGCTACAAATTATGAGATTCTAAAAAAAACCAAACTTACCTTCTCTTCGCGCCGCACGTCCTTCATGAAGGTGACGACCGCAGGAATGTCGGGAAATACTTCCCTGCGGCCCTGGCCCTTCAGGGACTTAGAGCTAAAAAGCTTTTCAGCTTGCTTCCACCAGCCATGGACAGTGCCCCGAGCAAGTTGGAGATCGCGGGCTGCCTCCTCCACCCCTACATCTTCGACGAGGCGGACCGCTTCGCGCTTCTCGCGGACGGTGTAGCTCTTCTGCTTCTTCTTGGGCGGCGGCGTGTCCTCCATGGCTCGAAAAACAGTATGAGCGGCTCAGTCGACCAGCTCCAAATTAGGCAATGGCACACGGGGATTTACCAGAGCCATTCAAAAATTAAATCGCGGTGATTGGCTTATTTTTATGAATAAAATAAATTTGATTGGACAAAATCATCGCTTGTTTTGTATGGACATGTCTATGGAATGCCGGGTTTTGCGTTGCCGGATTTTTCTGTCGTTGACTGTACGCCACTCTCCGCACAAACGATTGCGGCGTTTTGGGCGCAACTTGAGGTCGACTTTGGGAAGAGCGACGCTATGGGCATAGTGGAGTTGATCATGAAATTTGAGAGAACCATTACTGAGGACTTCAAATCCGTGGCCGAACTCTTTCAGAAGTTGCGCAACGTGAGAAACCGGCTGAACCGCCAAGGGCAAGAAACGCTGCGTGTGCCCTTGCTGCCAAGTCAGCTGATGATTGGGACGGTGCCTGCGATGCTACCGGGCCATCTTTGGGGACCTAGCGTCACATTCTCGCAGGAGGAATTCACCCTGGAGAAAATTGAGACCAAGTTGAAGTCTATCTTCGGCAACAAGAGTAAGGCCGAGATTCAGGCGATGGGCAAGATGACTTAGCACCCGATTGAGATTTTGGTCATCGACGCTGCCAGAGGAATGGCTGGCGCAAAGAAGGGACCGATGAAGAAGTCCGACAAGTGCAAAACGATGATGATGCCGACGGATGTTGAGCAAGCCAACGTCTGCTTCTACTGCAAAGGCGTGCACAACGACAAGAACGGATTTTAGCCCCACTTCAAGAAGGACTGTCCTATGAGAAAGGAGGGCATGACCAAGGGCGTCGGTCGAAAATACATCTTCACCGAGCCTCGCCCACTTAAAGTGAGGGAGACGGACCATGCACGTGTGCAAAAGGTGCAGCCGGCTCCCAAGAGGAAGGAGATCCCGGTGGATGTTGCGGTCCTTCAACGCCTCAACATCAACAAGCCGAAGGCGAATGAGGATCTGCCGAAGGCAAGGGCAGGAAAGGATCAGCCCAAGGATGAAGATGAGGATGAGCCGATGGCGGGCGACACTGCGGTCACGCCGACGGGAAGGCTTAACTCTCCGGTGGTGTCCAGCTCTGCGTAGAGCGGCAGTGAGGACGACATTGACGAGTTCGACGGTAAGACTGTCGTGCCTGCCAACAGCGTCTAGGTCACAGCCGCCGCTGAGGAATAGGAAGAAAAGGCGAAAGCATTCGAAGATACGGTAAGCCAACGGTATCCCTTATATTAGTGCCTATCACTGAGCTAACGGGCAACTTATGGATTTTGGATACAGGATGCGGATATGGATTGACTGCAAGCGAGTCGGTCTTCGCGACCAAGCAGCCTAACTCAGACTACGTTTTTACATTTGACCAGGGCTCTAAACTGAGAAATACATTTGTTGGTACTGTTAAGTTGTCTTTGATGAGTCCAACAGGAGCTAAGTCAGTACCGTTTAGTGATATAGCACTAGTACCACACGCGAAGTCAAATATCTTAAGTGTGTTTTGGCTAAAAAGGGCAGGTTATCCGATTGTGGTAAGTAACAGCGGATTATACAAGTTCATACTTTGGAAGCACAAGTTAATATTAATGGGCAATGGGAGTCTATGGAACTGTGGGAATCATTAGATACTTCTTGAGCATCATTGACGACCAAACATCCCGGCGCTGGACCTATGTGTTGCAAAACAAAGGGGAAGTCAATGACAAAGTTAAGACGTTGCTTCTCGAGCTAGAGAGAGAAGGCAAGTTTAAAACCCGACGCATAAGGTCAGATGGAGGAACCGAGTTTGCAAACCAAGCTTTTAAAAGCTTTTGCAAGAGCAAGGGGATCAAATTTCAAAAGTCAAACGCATACTACCCAGAGGAAAATGGAGCGGCAGAACGCAATAACCAAACTAAGATGAGCAAAGTGCGCTGTGAACTAAAAGATGCTGAGATGGTTGATCGTTGGTGACCAGAAGCACTGATGTACATGACCTATGTGGAAAACAGAACGCCTATGAGTCGTCTGGGTAATAAGTCCACATACGAAATAGTGCACGGTAAACCACCAGACATAAGTGACCTTCACATTTGGGGAAGTATATGCTTTGCACATGTACCTAAAGAGCGAAGAGAAGAGAATAAATTATCTGCAGGGGGGATAAAGTGCAGGTTCTTGGGAATATCGGACGAGTACAAGGTTTACCGGATTTTGGAAGCTCATTGGCTCTTTCCTGCGGCGCGCGGTTAAAACGTCATGCATTGCGGACAAGGCTCACCTAGATCTCTACAAGTCGATAACAACATATGTTGTATTATTGAGTCTTTGTAAAAAACTCAACACTAGCAAGGCTGAGCGCCAGGGTGTAAATGGATGGGTAGTTTTATTTTTTTGTGTGTGCGGGGAGGGGGGGGGGGTATTTTCTCGACCCACGCCCCATTGTTCTCAGTGCTCGGAATTTTATGGTTTAAAATAGATAGCTAAACGTGGGACGAACACGGGAGATTGATCGCACCTAGAAGACGCACCTAGAAGACGCACCTAGAAGACGTAAAGTCTAGAACTATCATTTCTACTTTAGTCATCATGGCCTGCCACCGGTGGCATATCTGATATGACTGCTTCAAGCACCAGTCTTCTCTTCAGTGCTACCTAAGATGCCCAACTGACAACGGAACAAACAAAGAGAAGAGCTTGTTGCCCTCGAGAGGGATGCGCGCAACCTCCGACACCGCCAATGCTATCAAACGCGGCAGCGAACCTTACGGCGCGCTGCACGCCAGCTCAAGACACGAACGCTAGGCTGCCGGAGGAACCTGCCGATACGCCATCTAGGCCTGAGACATCCGCGTCCACTCCAACACCGCAACCGCCCGAGGCGGAACGACAACCGGACCCACATGGCACACGTATAGATGTGTATAATAAATAGGCAATAGGCAAGTTTCAACATCATAGAGCCTGCTACTTGCTTGCAATACGCGAGCAAGGTTTCGACTTCATACAAGCCCTATTAACAAGTTGAGCTATTGCTGACAGCTTCGAATAGTTGCGAGGCGACCCTTCACCAACATATATGAACTAATCTATCGCGATAATTGACTTGCAATACAAAAATAGATTGCGGGAACTTACCACGATTTGGTGCTGAAATATGAGTTTTCACGAAGCGATTTCATCGTAACTACTACGTGTTGGGAAGCTGCGACCACTGTTGTTACACACACAAGACCTATAGCTATCGATTGGTACCAAATTCAAGCTCGGAAGCTGCCGTTCAAACAACCAAATTTTCGGATTGTGCGGAAAAGTGCCGTTTTAGGTTCCTCCGCCGAGGCGACGCGTGTTAAGTCCCGGTAATGTCCTACTATGACGTACACATATATTTATGGGAACAAATACCCATGTAATGAGAACGATGGAGACCGCCCTGCCGACTAGTGAATTCCTCGATGAGCTGTACCCCCGTGGTACATCGCCAAAGGAGGCCAGCTCTTCGTGCCCAACCGGTTGTCATTGGTCTAAAAATGGGAAAGAGTCGGACTTCATACAATCTGATTGGATAAAATAGAACTCGGGGGTACAGCTCATCGAGGATGATCCTTCAAAAGTTGCCCATCAGTTTATAATATACCCCCTCCCCCCCGCACGTGTTCGCTATAATATAGCGAACACATACGGGGGTTACAGCTTTTCGAGGAAAAATTGGGGGTACAGCTCATTGAGGAATTTGGTAGTGATGCGCCGTAGTAATAGTACAAATTTGGTCACAAAGATATGACGGACACAAATCAATGACATTGAGGTTTTTTATTTAGCCGCCACACACAAACATATCGGCCAATCATAGCGTAGCAATCCTCAACTCAGGGGCTCCACTCAAAATTAGACGTAGTCCTCCTGCAGGAGGACATGGACGATGGAGCGAGCGCTCGGTTGCGGATTTGAATTGTGGGCGATGGCAGTCCGCTGCGATGCGAATCAGAGGAGAAGGAGGACGTGTTGGACTGTGATGAGGTTGAGGTGGTCATTCGTAACCGCCGAAATGCATACCCAAGCGCTCTGAAACTCAAGATGCTAGACGATCTCAACGCGGGGGTCAGTGCGGTTGATGCTGCTAGACGCCATGGAATACAGTTCCTCACAGCCATGTACGAGTGAAAACCACCAGGCCGCCTTTAGGGGACGCGTGCAGCAATAAGAGGAGGTCTAAGTGCAGTTTCGATGGGCTAGGTAGAGCGCTCTGCGCATGCGGCAACGACGCGCTCTACAGAGCAAGCGATGCTGTTAGTGAGAGCAGCATAAAGCAAGCTTGGCTTAAGGCGGGCTTGTAGGCAGTCTAGATTAGGGATGGGGACGTAAACGCAGTTAACGTAACTTTTTATCGTGAACGGGTACTAGCAAAACTTTCCCGTTTGCGTTTTTCTTTACGTAAGTTCCCGCCAAACGTTTTCTACAGGATTTCACCCTAAGTACGATGTTAGTTCCCTCTCCAAACTGATTTCAAAGCCGAAACCTCGTATTCAAGAAGGCAGTATGATAGTTTTCAGTTGACGTTAATGTACGTCAAATGTACGCTAAAAATCTGGTCTCGATTTTGCCGACGGGAATTTACGTGAATTAACGTCCCCATCCCTAGTCTAGATAGGGCAGGGGGGCGCCAGAAGGCGCGCCTGCAGCCTTGGAACCCCGGCAGTAAGGTCACCATACGGGTGGTTGCTACATTTTACGACTGCACGAGTACAAAGTATTGTGCGTACTAAATATTTAAGTAGTGATTTGTGATTAGCTTAAAATAGAAGTGGCATTGTTTTGTTTCCGCATCGGTTCGCATACAATAGAAAAACCTCCCGCATCATATCTTTCTGTCCAAATCTGTAGTACAGTTGTGCACCTCGTTTTTGGCCTCGATATCAATTGATAACCGGGGATAATGTATTCGGATTTGCATATATAGACTCAGTGTATCATTGAATAGAGCGCTTAAGCAATTCAGAACGAAACGAAAATCTGATGACAATCTGAGAAAATCTGATAATTTTTCGTCGTCTCGATTGCGTCTCGTTGTCTGAGGACGTCAACTTTCGTAAGAGCTTGTTGTGGCGAAACGGAATCAGAGGCGGAGCCAGTGTGAAATCTATAATCTAGCCATAACGATGGACTCCAACAGCGACAGCGACGATGATGTACTCGCTTACCGCCAGGCGGCGAAGGAGATGCTGGACACATCACGCGTGAAGAGACTACATGGAGATTGGGAGGCGGCATCCAGGCTGCGCCACAGCGCGTTGCTATTGCTATCGGAGGCTAAGCCACGATACTCTTTTCCCCGTGTCCGATTCGACATCAACAACGTCACGGACGACACCTGCCTGCTGTTCTACCGCTTCACCCAACGCCATCTACGCCGTTTACAAGCTTCATTTCAGCTGCCGGACGTCACTCGCACGGGCGCGAGCTCTCGTACGTGTTGTAGCGGTCTCGAAGAACTCTGCATCACCCTACACAGTCTTTGCTACCCAACGCGATGGATGGAGATGTCAGGTATTTACGGCCGGTGGCCCAGCCCTCTAAGTAGTATTTTTTACTTTGTGATCGATTTTATTAGCGAGAGATGCAGCAGGTTGCTCAAGGGGAATTTTGATTATGTGAGCTCTAGATTGCATGAGTTTAGTCAAGCTATCTACGACCAAAGCGCTGAGTTGGACCGTATTTGGGGGTTCGTGGACGGAACCGTTAGGGGCATCTGCAGGCCAGGAGAGGCTCGGGAGCAGCAAAGTGTGTACAGTGGTCAGAAACGCAAGGATGCGCTCAAGTTTCAGGCCGTCGTTACTCCAGACGGCATGATCTTCCACCTGCACAGGCCCGCTGAAGGCCGAAGACACGACATCCTACTGCTGCGAGAGTCCGGACTGGAGGAGCGAGTCCGCCGCGACGGGAGATTTCAAGGCTACTTTGTCTACGGGGACCAAGCGTACGGCCGTACCGATGTGTTTGTATCTCCTTTTCAAGGATCAAGTTTAACGCCCGCTCAGGCTGCAATAAACGCCTCCATGTCGAAGGTCAGGACGTCCGTGGAATGGCCGTACGGCCAGGTGCTCAACTACTGGGCTGGTGTCGACTACAAGAGAAAAATGTGCTTGGGAGAAGTTCCTGTAGCAAAGATGTACAAAACTGCAGTGGTTCTGACCAATTGTATCACTATTCTTCGTGGAGGGAACAATAACAGCAGATATTTTGGCGTGGAGCCTCCGTCGCTAGAAAGCTACTTCTCCGTTTAACATCACAATATACATGCATTTCAGATTCACTTGTTACTAATAGCTGAAGCTAATAGTGTTAAAATGGACTCGGTCTGAGCAGCTTGCTGCTGGATCTGCTTGCGTAGCAGCTCTTGCTGACGTTTTTGCTGCTCGAGTTCTTCTCGACGAAGTTGCAGCTCTTCTCGGTGAAGTTCGACCTTTTCCGCTTCCAGTTTCCTACGCTCGATAGCTTCTTCAAGCTCCTGTTCAAGCAACGTGGAGAGACGACGGCGCTTAGGATGGCCTGAATCTTTGGTACCAGCGGCCAGCCTCTCGGAAACCCTGTTCATACAATTACATAAAAGCATTCATAATTAGAAGAAATACATTGCAGTCAACAC